CTCAAGCTGAGTAGAATGAGCTATGTCTGAAGTGTTTTATCCCAAATTTGTAGGAGGAGATACATTTGGCGCGAAGCTATCCAAAAATCAGTTTTTTGGCTGTTGCTATGGCAACGGTGGGCCAAAAAAAATTTTCAGATTTTTCCTTATAACTAGGGTTAAGGTGTGACCTACCTGCCAAGTTTGAACGAAATCGGCCAAGCCAAAAAAATCACAGAAGAAATAATAGTGAACACTGGAAATGTACACACACAGACACACACACACACAAAACGACAAAAGTGATTATAAGGGCAATCCTAGCGGATCGCCAATAATTTGATTATGGAGACTTCCGCGCTCGGCGGTTAAACCGGCCAACGGATAAAAAGACGCATTTGACATTCCATGACGTTTGCATAAATCCTAGCAGTATTAGGGTCGTATCTGGGCGTTAGAAGTGTGAGGTATCGGGGAGTGGAACGCCACAAAGGATCTATTGGTAACCGACAATGTAAACGTTTAGTCGCATATTTTAAAATGATGTTTATGAATTCTTTTCAGGAGAATGCGATTTTTCGAGGATTCCCGCGAGTTTCGATCACGCTGGTTGTACAGTAATTATATGTATACTTTGGCTGGTTACGTCACTGAAGTATTAACTGGAGAATCATGGGAAACATCAGTGAATAAATTATTTGATTCACTGGGTAAGTTCACGAAATAAGTTAATTTAAAGCGGAGGGGTCGTTACCTGCGCACGCGCGGGAATTGAGTCATTATCGACGATAACAACGCGTTTGACGCATGCGCGGGTGACGACACACCCGCTTTAACCACGCCCTGTATATCCACACGCTATAAAATACGCAGAGCGATCAAACAACCAGTGAAAGCACCGACTTGTTATACAGCCAGTATCAGTGATTGGGGCTAAAGCCAAAACATAACCAATGCTCACATTTCGTAATAAAATCATAGTTCTTAGAAAACATTTTTAAGGTCTATGATAGAATAAGAAATCGATTTCTCGTGGGCTAAAAATGGTGTGTCAAATGACTTGATAGGTATCGACATTAGAATCACTGTAACAAACATACGAGTGTATTTCATTGTTAGTACCACAGGCTGTCTTCATATGAACCAATGAGCATTCCAGAGCTCCGTGGTTGTATACCGTAACTTGATCATGACATAGTACATGCGATCAAAGTACCCACATCTCCGAATGTACAACCAAACAGCTACGTGTATTCACAACAGCAATTTAAATGGTCGTTACAGCCTGTGGTTAAACCGATGTCTATCT